TACTAGACCAGTTGAAGCTTCCAGGTGGTCTCCAAGGGTGGCCCCAGGGACAGAGGATTGCAGTCGTCAAGCCAAAGTGGAGGACAACCCAGAGCAAGCAAGGGCCACTTAGGGACACAACTTCCCCGCAACTTCCCCACCCTGCTTGGATTCCTCTGCATCTCCCCTTCCCCGCGTGTCCCGATTCCACCCCTGACTCTCCTCCAAGGTCATTCCCAGGCCTCCTGACTCCGCCCACAGCTCCCTGGCCCCGCCCACAGGCCTCCTGGCCCCCGCCCCCTTTTCGCCAGCCTGCTCCAAGATTGGACACCCCCCTCGCCCGAGACCCGGAGCGCCCACGCGGCGGCACTTCCCACCACCACTCCCCCCCCCCGGGCCGCCCCGATCCGGGCAGGCCGCCCCCTTCCCCGCTCTTACCTTCGCCCAGCAGGAGGATGCGCACGTCCCGCCTCATCCCCGCGGCTTCGGGGGGGGGGGGGGGGGGGGTGCTGCAGCGATCGCCGCTCGTCCCGGCACTTCCCACCCTTCTCGGCGCTGCCGCCGTCCCACTTCCCGCTTCCGCTTCCGCCTTCTCGAACGGCGCCGCGTATTGCCTGGAGCGCCCTCTGCGGCCGGAGTGTGAACCGACAGCCTTTTTTTTTTTTCTTTTTGCTTAGGGAGGCTAAGCTGTCGGTGGCATCAAAAAAATCAGAATAGAGCTGGAAGGGGATCTTGGAGGTCTTCTAGTCCAGCCCCTTGCTCACTCAAACGGCAGATTCTATACCATTCCAGACAAGTGGCTATCCGATGTCTTCTAAAAATAAACCCCTCCAATGATGGAGCATCCACAAGTTCTGGAGATCACCCATTCCACTGACCAATCAATCAATCAATCAATCAATCAATCAGAACAGAGCTGGAAGGGACCTTTGAGGTCTTCTAGTCCAGCCCGCTGCTCAAGCAGGAGAACCTATACCCTATTCCAGAAAAGTGACTGTCCAGTCTCTTCTTAAAAACCTCCAGTGATGATGAAGCATCCACATCTTCTGGAGGCAAATTGTTCCACTGGTTGATTGTCCCTCACTTTCGGGTGATTGCAATGCTGGCTTCAAATATCAATCGAGCCAAGGTTTAACAGGGAGAATTGCAAATGCGCTGGACTCTGCTGCGCGTGTATTTATTGTTTTTCAATCTCATGCTGGCTGGGGGATTTTGGGAGTTGAAGTCCACACATCTTAATGGTGCTGAAGTTGAGAAACACCAATTTAATAAGATTGAAATGAATACGGAGCATTATTCTGTATTATGTTGTATTATATATTATGGTGTTATGTGAATTTCATTGTATGTGTATACTGTTTATATACATAAAATGATTATTTATTTATTTATTTATTTATTTGTTTGTTTGTTTAATCTTTAGTGAGATTCACAGCCTTTAGGGCTGGTTGGTAGCTCAACAGCTCAAGTCCTAACCAAGGACCTAGAAACTGTTCAAATAGCATCGGAGGATATAAGCTGTTCCAAGTAGGGTGGGTTTTTTTCTAGAATCAGGGTATTCAAGTCTGATAAATTCAGGATTTCCAAATAGCGAGGCAGCCCTTTAGGTATTGCTCCAACGGCTCCAATTACAATTGGGATAACACACGATTTCTTTTTCCAAAGTCGCTCAACTTCAGTTTGTAAGTCCCGATACTTTGTGATTTTTTCTTGCTGTGTGTCTACAATTCGTGCATCACCAGGTATTGCAATGTCAATGAACCATATTATTATTATTATTATTATTATTATTATTATTATTATTATTATTATTATTATTATTAATTGTCATTATCATCATCTGCTTCTTAACTATCTGCCAGCCCCCTGAATTCTGGCTCAACTATTCATTACAGGTAGTCCTCAACTTACAACAGTGACTGAAGTTACAATGGTATAGAAAAAAAAGTGACCTATGATCATTTTTCACATTTATGGACCATTGCAGCATCCCTGTAGTCACATGATCACAATTCAGATGCTTGGAATATGACTCATACTTATGACTGTTGCTGTATCCTGAGGTATGGGAATCCCCTTTTGTGACCTTCTGAGTCAATGGGGGGAGCCAGATTCATTTAATGACTGTGTTACTAACTAAACAACTGCAGGGATTCACTTAACAACGGTGGCAAGAGAGATCGTAAAGTGTGGTAAAACTCACTTAACAAGGTTCTCACTTAGCAACAGAAATGTTGGGCTCAGTTGCAAATCAAGCACTTAACTGTTTAACAGCTGTGGCAAAAATGGTCATAAAATCAAGCATGACTCATTTAACAACCACTTTGCTGAGCAACTCTGGTCCCAATTGCAGTTGTAAGTTGAGGACTACCTATTTTCCATCCCAGAATGTCTCCTTTACTCCAGTATAGACTAATGGACGTGTGTAAAAACAGCTAAAATCCAATCTGCTTAGGGAAATCTTGAATCAGAAAGCAACATTAGAAAAAACAATCCTTATCCATTCACTACTAATGTTTAAAGATACCATAATTTAGCTACCCCAGTTGCTTTCCAACTAAGCCATTGATGTTGTTTCTATTGTGCTTGAGGAATTAAATAATGTGTTTTCAGCTGTTGGGAGAATTCCTAAATCAGGACAGAATGTTTCCATCTCTTCGCAATTCTTGTATTTGCAATAAAAAAGTAAACTTATTTTGTTTGGAGATGAAAGATGAACTGGGACATGAAAAAATGACATAGTACTGTATGAAGAAGTGATAATCCGTGATCATGCTATTCTCAAAAAAGATGTTTTATTTGTATTATGGTTTTTTTGTGAAAACCCAAATAAAATTTATATTTAAAAAAATGGCATAGTACTTTAGCTGTCATGCAAAGATTAGTCTTTAAATGGAAATACATAGCTGGCAATAACTCTACAAAGAAGCTCAAGAATGAATGGAAATTGCTTGACAACTCCCAACAGATTCATGTGGCCCAGAAATTCTCTGTCATGTGTAATTTGTATAACAATTAGTGAAATTCAGCTTTGCATATCAAAAACTCCTGCATGCAGGTTTCTTTTGCAAATGGGACATAACAGAAAGAACAATTGCAGCCTGAGTTTGGATGTTTTTCTGGCAGAAAGGTTACTAAAGTTACTGATTTTTTATTTCCAACGAAAGGCACCAATAAACAGACCCAAACTATTTTATTAAATCACTTGCCCCAAATTGCTGTTGTTGAATCCTTGGGTATCATAGTTTAGATTCCTCTTTCAAAATTCTGTGCTGCCAAACCAATTACGGAAAGCAGACAAAAAAAAACAAGTCGCGAATAAAATAAACGTGGAACCATAATGTACATAGCCATTAGATCAAAAAGAGGTCACTAGGTCAAAACTGACTGAGGGAATTATCTCCAGAGAACTACATGGATGAACTAACTGAATCGAAACCTTTGTTAAGAACTCACATTCATGGATATAATTTTGGGAAGCTAAGGTAATACATTTTGTATAAAACCCAATATATTAATTACTCTTGCTCCTGCTCTGGGTTGTAATATCCACTTGCACTAAAGAAGACCTAGAAATGTTGAACGAGGCAGTTCACCCAACCCTCTCCCCAATTCCTTTTTCTGTTCTTCTCCCAACATCTCCAACTAAGCTCTTCTAATTATTGTGATGTGTTATAGCAGTGTTTTTCCAGCTTGGAAAAACTTTTAAGATGTGTGAACTTCAACTCCCAGAAATCCCCAGATAGCATAGGATAGCTGGCTGGGGAATTCTGGGAGTTTGAAGTCCACGCATCTTAAAATTGCCAAGCTTGACAAACACTGTGCTAGAGTTATTCTGAGGTTTTCTATTTCAGGAATCGAAAATACTTACTCTAGCATTTTAACCCCTGGAGATAAGTCATGCCTTGTAAGATGCCTTATGGCTGACTGTAATTTCATTGCTGGATATTCCACAAAACGAACAGAATCTCTGCAATCTACTTCTTCTAAATCCCAGGAGCTCATTAACCGCCTTACAAGACGCCCTGTAAACTTTTCATGGAAGCTCTGGAAACAACCGGTGACTTCTTGTTTCAAAATGTGGTAGTACCCCTCCGGGCTGATAGTTGGCACAAGTTGGCTGGCAACCTGGCCCTACCTCCCTGCTCTGTAAAATGGTGGATGTCGGTCCCTGTTTAGAAGGTAGCAGCAGAAGAAGCGATCAGAACGATGGGTCACCAAAGCCAACCTCTAGCTGGACTTGTTTGACCTCCTGCAGGAGATCCAGGTTGTCCAACTCCAACTGCAACAAAAAGGGAAAACGGGTAACTCAAACATCGGTCAAATATACTCAGAGAAGGAAAGGGCAGTAACCCTACTTCAATCCAATGTAAGACAAATGAAAAATGCCTCCTTGTTAATATTTATGTAAGTATGTTCTGGAGAACCGGTAGCAGAAATTTTGAGTAGTTCGGAGAATCGGCAAATCCCACCTCTGATTGGCCCTGCCCCCTTCTATTCTCCGCCTCCTGAGTCCCAGCTGATTGGCTGGGTCTTCTTTGGTTGCCCTGCACAGGAGAACGGAGCTGGAAAGCAGGTTAGTGGGGTGGGGAGGGAATGGGGATTTTGCAGTATCCTTCCCCGTGCCACGCCTGCCAAGCCACGCCCACCAAGGCACACCAAAGCCCACCAAGGCACACCACGCCCACCAAGGCACGCCCACAGAACCGGTAGTAAAAAAAATTGAATCCCACCACTGGTTAAAAGAGAGAAGTTAATATGATGACTATCATGTTGAATACTATTACGTTAATATTGTATAATCAATTAGTATAATGAATAGGTGGATATTCCTATGTTAAATATTGTAGAATTAATATGTAATGAAGGATGTGGTAACTTTGATTATTGTTTAACAAAGAGGTTTGTACCCAGACCACACACTGTTCCATTGAAGATGGAATAGTTGTATTAAAAATAAAAATAAAAATAGCTTGAACGAGGGGGGGAAAAACCCGTGACCAACCTTGACAGCGTATTTATAGGATTGTTCAGCCTCCAGTTGTCTTCCGCCCTAAAGGGGGGGAAAATAGAAATCTGTGCTAAACAAGTTCTGACAAGGCAAGAGAAACCCTGAAAAGCTTAATGGTGTTTTTAAAGGAAAACAGGGAATGGGAGGAATAAATCCCCCAGGGGAAAGTCTCTCATCAAATTGAGAAGTGTAAAGAAAAAGAAAGGCAACCGAGAAAAAGGAAAGGGGGTAGGGTCTGATGTGAAAATGCATTTCTACATTTCTGCCTCGTCTGAGAATTTCCTTCCATCCATTCATTTGACCTGGAAAAGGACTTCAAATGGGTTTAGAAGCCATTTTTCACTCATAAGAGCATTGAATTCATCTGCAGAGAAGCCCCTTACTCTAACCCTAATCTCAATCCTGTCAGTGGTCCAGTGAAATTCCCCATTTCATTCAAAACTCAGAAACAAAGTTCATCCAAGTAAGAATTTATTGAAGATGTCATATTGGCACATCTGGGAAAAAAACTAATCTGAGAGTTCCGGGTTTTCCCTTCCCAACTG